AAAAAAACATAACATACTTGTTGTAAAAAAAATAATGTTGTTCCTTTCTAGAAGTCGATATAACTAAATAACTCTCAGGTGGTATTATTCATATTGCACGTCAATATTTTCTATTTAATTTTGGATAATATTTTTGTAATGGATTGATATTACTTAATTTAAAAATTAGAGACATTGAATTAGCAATAAAAAAAATAGATTCCAAAATTACACATTCGTAAAATTTAAAAGATAAAAAATTTTGTTCACTAAAATGGATTTAAACCTTTATAGTTTTCTTCAATTAGTAGCAATTTTCGTAAGAACATTAAAAAAATGAATTGTAGAAAGAAAAAAATGACAAAGTAAAAACTTATATATTTGAATGGATGTGCTTTAAATAGACTGGGTATACAAGATAGATGATGATGAAAATGATAATATACGATGTTCATTGTTATCTTATAAAATGACACTGTTTATAATGGTTAAAAGTGATTTTTTTAATGATGATTTTAAACTCATAATAAATGCAAACAACATAGGAAATTTTAAATTTCTATGTCGTTCAAAGAACTAACATAAAAAAATTAATTTTCTATATGATTATATGAATTACTAACATAAAGAGTAATCTTATTTTTAAATTTTTGTTACACCCAACAAGTCTTGTTTTCATATGGGCTTATGTGTAAAACGGACTCATCAAGAATATGGAAGTTGGAACATATTATTCTGATCTAATCATTGAGCATGTAGATTATTTACACCATTATAAGTCAAAACTTTCTCTTTGTAAATATGAGTGGCACCCTAGTGCCCAAATATTAATACATTTTATTTACTGTTTCATCCTTTTTACTTCGTATCCATCGTTATTGTCAGTGTTGCCCAATAGTTAACGTGTTCTTCTCTAAGGTGGTTAAACACTTCAAGGTTTTGTAGATTTGAAAAATGCTTTCCCAAAAAAAGCAATGGAGGGTGAGAGTTCTTCCTAAACCAGATAAAATGTTACAAAGAAAAAATAAAATACATAACTACAAAACGTTCTTACCCACCCGCTCCTTTATGATCTTCTATGCTCCCTTTGTCATCCTTAGAACTTCCCTAAACAACAAAACTAGCAACATTCAACATATTGAAAATTTGAAAAATGCAAATAAAATAAAATGAAATGAAAGCAACAAGTAAAAGTAATCTAGTTGTAGTTGGATGTACGGAGAGGAGGAAGAGAAAGATGTGTCATATAAAGAGAAGGAAAGAGATAAGAAGAGGAGAGCGTTGAAAAATCAAAAGAACGAATTGTGTGTTATAAAGTTATTATGTTAATGTAAAGTATTTTTTATGTCAGTTAAAATAATTAACATAAAAAATATTCACTATGTCATTAAAACAATAATTGGCATAAAAGACAATCATAAAATGTGTTATCTTTTTTCAAAATAGTGATAGTTCATTTACAATAGATTTTAACATGTTGCAATGACAGTTTGAAAATTATTTTTTTTTTAATTGCACATTAGCAGAAAATAATATCTAAAAAAACATTCACTCAACACTATCACAAAGTAGAAAATTTATTTTTTATTTAACATGGAGTTTCGCTTTAATTTTTTTTTAATTGTATGTACTTAATGCATCCAAACAAATTCATGCATAAAATATAACTATGTGATTTTAGTGTATCAAACACGATATAAATCTAGCTACCATCTAGATATTAACTAAGGAAAATACTAGCGGATTTTTTTATTTTATCATAAGAATTACAATGAGAACAATAAAATTTAAACTTAATTAAGACCATGTAAAAATATATGAAGAGGAAAAAAATAACTAAAGTGATACATGTAATATATAATAATCTGGTGGCAAAAAAAAGGTAAAAAATGAGGCCCAAATATGATAGAAGACGAAATAAGTATATATATTTACACTATATCCAAGTAATCCAACGTGTGTACCTTGAATTGTACAAGACTATTTATTTAAACTCAATGGCAGCCTTGTGCAAGGAAACTATTGGCCATGGAGATATTATACGTTGGTTGTTCAAGGGAATGGAAGAAAAAGAGACTCTCAACTCTGCACAATTGTCAAAAGCTTTGTTCGATGCAGCAAAATCAGGAAACATTAGGATTCTAGAAAGTCTTTTTATGTACCATCCAGATTTGCTATTTGAAGTGGATTCCACAGAGCAAAGAAGCTTACTTCACACTGCTATTCTATATCGACAGGAAACTGTATACCGACTAATATTAAGCAAGGGGGCTTCCAAGAATTTTATGATGCAATTGATTGATTTTGAGGGTAACAATGTTCTTCACTTAGCTGGAAAGTTGGCACCTGATGAAAAAAGATTCGGATTTTCAACAAACTATGTTCTAATGCGTAGTGAGGAGAGATGGTTTCAGGTATATATATCCACTCGATCGATTAGCATTTTTCAGCAAGAATAATATTGTTTTTCTCTTTACTACCTTTTTATTTTTCTAGGCTCCCTTATCCATTTTTATGATAAAAAAAAAAATAGATTAAAATATTTTTTAGTCTCTATAATTTTATTTACTTTATATTATAGTCCCTATAATTAAGTTTTGAATATTAACGAAACAGGAAGTGGAGAAAATAGTTCCAGGGTCCATGAAAGAATGAGAAACAAATATGGTTTGACTCCTAAAGAATTATTCTATGAGTCACACAAAGAGTTGCACAAAGAATCAGAACCTGAAGTGAAAGATACGGCAAACACTTTAATATTGGTAGCAACTCTTGTTATCACCCTAGGGATCACCGCAGCCATGACCATTCCCGTTAAGGATGCTGATAGTACAGAAACTCCTATTTTTGGGAAGAAAATATGGTATATGCTATTTTTTATATCAATTGCATCTGGAACATGCTTAGGTACTGCATCTATGTCCTACTATGCTTCGGTTATTCTTCCTTCAAGTTGGGAACCAAAACAAGAGTCTGTGCTCTCGCGGCAAACAAACTTGATGTTTGGAAATGGGACACTATTTGGGTCCATTGCACTCATGTTTTTGGCTTTTGCTTCCGGTTCCATATTGATCTTTGACTTCATGTCCAATTGGATCCATTTTTTCACTGCTGGACTTGCTTGTGCCGTATTGCTTTTCCAAATTGCACTTGCCTATAAACGATGGAAACCCGTGTGCGCACTCCAGCAAAGGAAACAAGCTTCGGTTCGAATGAACTCAAATTAAAGATTGTGCTCAACTGTTCTGGCATTTTATGTATAAGATATAGTAAGTTTGCAGGAACATTTCTTATTATAAGACAGTTTTACATTAGAGTTTGTTGTGCGTGTGATTCGCTTTCTTTGTAAGAATAGATATTCTTCATGTGCTGACCCTGAAATTGTGAATGTAAACTCTATATTTCAAGTGCTAGATGTTCTGCATATTTTGGTGAAACTAAATATATCCTCTACCATATCTAATCATGTCCAAGCAGAATATATCGTTATATAGGTTACAAAACTTTTTTTTTCTAAATATTTAATACAATTGTATGATAAGAGTTGAAGTCTAAATCATTAATTAAGTTCTATAGATAACATATGAATAACAACATATTTTTTATTTCAAGTATTTTAAAATATATAATTAATTGCACCAATTATTTTCTTTAGATTGTTTATCTTCATGTTTACTTTTTTTCTAAATAACATGTAAAAATAATTATGATCGAGTCAAATAAAATCATAAATGGTAAAATTCTTCTTATAAATATGAAAGATAATTATATACCCAATTTACTTTGTATAAGACAATTTTAAAACATTATTTTCTTTAAAAAGTTTATTCTCATATTTACTTTTTCTTTTGTCTATATATATAATTAACCATAATTTCTAGTACTCTCTCTCAAGGCTAATTGGATTTATATGCCACGATTCTTGTTTAGGGTTTATGTTTTCACATATTTATTGATTTCCCATACGTCAAAAAAAAAAATCGATTATAAACAAGCATAACTGATTATCTGAATATAAATTGTGCATCAGATTGTCCAAAACAGGCAAAGCTTTAAGTTTTCACATATTTAATTTTTTGTTTACGCTTTGTTCAAGATGTGAGTACGTTTACTTTCACTTTGTTGTCTTTTCAGAAAATCTAAAGATCATTATACCTTTTATGTATAAATTAAATATGCCTACTAAATTAATAAAACATTAAGATATCATTTTTTGTTAAAATGATTATCGGAAGTTACCATAAACCAAAACCAATTATCAGACAAACAACGGAGAATCAATTATTTTCAACATTTTTTAACAATTTAAAATCAATTCTATTAAAATTAATTGGAAAAAGATTTTTAAACACTCTTCGTATATAAACACCTTGAGAGAAATGGAAAAACAGGAAAGATAAGTGAGTAATATAATTAGTGATCGATGTGACATGAAAAAAAAAAATTGAGAGAAATTTTAAGTGTCAATTCACTGTTTTAAAATTAGATATCTAAACAAATAAAACCCAAATTAATTCTGTTGAATAAAATATCTCAAGCTGAATAAAATGTCTTCAAGCATTGTGTTCATGCAGATATGGAGAGTTGTAGGTACACATGAAAGTATGGTAGGTTTTAACTTTCAGGTGTGATTCTTAGCTCCAAAGTCCCTATTACCAAAACTGACAGATATAGCACTTGAGGATCAAATAATTTGGTTTCCTTTACTCCTGATGGATGGAATAACTCAACCTCTAAACAGATCACACACCAATATCCCCAGGGACAAAATAGTTCCATACATGCACACATTCTAGTGCACCTCGGACTCCAACTGCTCTATCACTGCACACAACAACTAATCAAACACGATGCACCACCTTTCCATGTCCCATGATAGGTAAAGCAGATTTCCCACTTACTATGAAAAAAAGTTGCAACATACCTTTCTTTTCTAACTAAACCCTACACCTAAACACAAATCACACTCCCAACCTCAATAAAAGGGCAACCTCTTCGACCTCTTTCCTCACACTGATCACAGCAACACAAGTAGCAGCACCCTCAAAGCATCCTACCTCTCACTTGAACACCAAAATGAAGACACAACAACAATCTCTTATCTCAGCCTCAATTCTACTGGCTCTAACACTCACCTTCTTCCACATCACTGCAGCTCAACTCTCACCAGTTCAAGCCCCAGTTTCATCACCACCACGACCACAACAACAAGCACCAGCGTTCTCACCACCCTCTCCTCCAGCCATTGCTCCATCACCAGGGTTCAACACAGTGCCCTTAGTACCCGTGACACCAAGTGGGGCCCCCACTCCCACAGTCCCAAAAGCACCCTCCATTGACATAGTCCAAATCCTTCGAAAAGCAAAGAGATTCTCCGTCCTCATAAGGCTCCTCAAAACCACACAACTCATAAACCAACTCAACTCACAGCTTCTAACCTCAGGCTCAGGAGGGTTAACCCTCTTCGCCCCAGAGGACTCTGCCTTCTCAAAACTCAAAGCTGGATTCTTAAACTCCCTCAGCGACAGACAAAAAGTGGAACTTCTTCAGTTCCACACCCTCTCCTCCTTCATTTCCATTTCAAACTTCGACACCCTCACCAACCCCGTTCAGACTCAGGCCGGCGACGACCCCCTCCGCCTCCAGCTCAACGTCACAACCGTCAGCGGCAGCCAGGTCAGCATGGCCACCGGCGCCGTCAACGCCTCCGTCACCGGCACCGTCTACACCGACAACAAGCTCGCCGTGTACCAGGTCGACAAGGTGCTTCTACCTCTTGACCTAGTGCTTCCGGCTAAGGCACCGGCACCGGCGCCGGCCAAGGCTAAAGGGGCATCGCCTAAGACTGATAAGACGAAGGGTGGCGGTGATGATGGCGCCGGCGGTGGTGATAGTGACAGTGGTGATAACAAGGACTTGCCAGCTGAAGCTTCTTCTGCGGGCTCCGTGAGGTTGGAGGGAATGTGGGTTGCGATAGTTCTTGGGGTGGCTTTCATGGTGTGATTGTGATATGGAGCGGGTATTTCGATTCTTCTGTTTGCGGTTTTGTGATTTATGAGTCATGAGTCATCTCCATCGTTATGTTTGCTGTTTGTTTGCATGTAGCATTCAATTTCACTAAAACGTATATACGCTGGATTTCTTTCCCTTTTCTTAGTGCATCATTGGTAATATTGGTTAGGCATGGCAGCCGGGCGCGGCCCGCTCCGTAGATTTAAACCCTCCTCATCTCTGTTCCGATACTCTTTGGGGGAAAAGTCACTATAAGAATACAATGAAATAGCTGCAAAAAAATAAGCCCCCACTAATAGCGGACGTAAATATTATCGAAAAAGCAAACGCTATTTTAATACGTTGTACTGGTTTTTTCGATACTAAATTTAAATCAGTATCGAAAAAGTCTATGTTATATTTAAATAATAGCGTCGGTTTTACCGACATTAAACTTAAATTAAGTTAGTGTTGACAAAGCCGACGCGATATTTAAAAAATAGCGTCGGCTTTTCTGACATTAAACTCAATTTAAATTTAGCGTTAGAAAAGTCAACATTATTTTTAAAGAATAATGTTGATTTTTTTGAAATTATACTTTCTTTGAAAGAGATAAAGATGATTTTTTTAATCTTATATATGCATAATGTATGATGGTGCAGTTGGTTATCAAGTTCTCTTAACACGTTAAGGTTCCAGGATAGAGTCTTGGTAATGTTAAAATTACGAATGAATAAATGATAAATTCAAAAAAAAAAAAAAGATGAAGAAATAAAATAAAATAAAATTTGTGTCAACGTAGTATCGACTTAACCGACAATAAAAAATTAAAATAAATAAAATTGTTACCGACGGCTTAGCTGACACAAAAAAAATTGAGTTGACTTATTTAGCGTCAGCTAAAAGCCGACAAATGACCGACTCCGGTGTTCGAGTTTTCCCATCCTCGCTCCTAGACTTTCTTTTTATTTTTTTATTTTTTTTTATTTCTAATAAATATGAAAAAAAAAAAAAAGAGTAAGATAATATAAACTTTTACATATAAAATTTTTTAAATTTAGTTTATATATATATATATATATAAATAATTTTTTAATTATGTTATTAAGTAAAACAGGAGCGGGACCGAAAGATATATAAAGAAAATATAATAGGAAGATACATAAAGAAAATATGTGGAATGTTATTAATTATTTATTAGTGTGTTTAAAATATTTAGATGTTGAAATACTATTATTAAAAATTTGTACGACTAATAAATACATGATTTTTAGAAACCACAAATAAGGGTAATCCAGCGACGCATTACATGATCTTGTCAAGTCTTAACACAGATTTTGGAACTTGAAGATAAAGACGGCTATCAAGTTGGAGTAACTATTTGCAAAGAAATAAAAATAATCATTATGATATATTTAACTAATAAAAAATATTACGTAACAATTTTATTTTCAAGCTTTTAAAGAGGTTTTCAAAACTAATGTGTTTGGTAGAGAGAAAAGAAATAGGTAAGAAATAGAGTGAAAAGGTAAGAAATAAAATAAAAAATTAGTTGTTTAGTTAAAAAAAAATATATTAAAAATATATAAGAAATAAAGTATATATATGAGAAATGAGAGAAAAATAAATAACTGAAACGTGAGAGCCAACACCTTTTAATTTATCTTCTCTTTATTTGTCCTCAACCAAACAATCTCTCATGTTCACTCTCCACCTTATTTCTTCTTACCAAACACAAGCTAAAGGTTTAACTCAATTCAAGACTTCTTAAAAAAAGTAGTTTAGATGTGTGAAAAAAGTTATGCACGGAGCAATTCAATACAAAGACAAAAAATAAAAAATAAAAAATTTTAAAATAGAAAGCCAAAAACGTACAGCAAGGAATATGTCACAAAGATTGTACGTGAAGGAATCTAACAAGAAGAATAAAAAAATAAAAAATAAAAAAACTACTTCCAAAACTATTGCATGGAGGAATCTAACAATAAGATGAAAAACTACTTCCAAAAGATTGCTACAAGAAGGAATCTGTAAATCTTTTAAATATTATAATAAGTTATCGTGTGTTGGTGTTGCTATTGTAATATATTTCTAGTTCTCCCGTTGTGTGATTGTGTTGTATTTTGATGTACTTTTTTGTAATTCCCTTCATATATATAAGTTTTGTTCAAGAATTTCACATGCTATACCCATGTTGCTCAAGTTTTATAAAGTTTTTAGCGTCTCTTTAGTAAGATTTTTACCTACCTTTCATTTTATGTATAAACAATTGGAAAGAATAATATTGAAATACAAAATATTACTTTATTTATAATGATATTTTTCAAAAATATGTTACGAAATAACATATTTATATAATATATAGTAACATTTTAACAAATGTAAACAAAAAAATGTTACTACAGGATTAAAATCTAGTAGTAGTTGTTTCATTATTAATATTTATCGTATTAACTCTTTAATTCGTTGTTTTATGATAATTAATATTGTTTATCTTGTTGTAATTAAAATTAAATTAAGTATAACTCGAGTTTTATTTGATTCTATATATGTATGTTTATAGTTTGTGATTTTAATTAAAACTATATATTTTCACTAAATTTGTCGCCATCATTACTCCGTTGTTTCAAATTAGTCGATCAACTATATGATATGGTAGGAAGATAGATAAAGAAAAATGTAAAATGTCATTAGTGTTTGAATATTTAGATGTTTAGATCCTATTTCTCAAAAATTATAATAAAAACATAAATTTTAGAAACCTTGCAAATAAGGATGGCAACCGAGTTGGACGAGTAGTATATAAATATCTAACTATCTATCTCCGTCACATTACTAAATAAGTTTCCATTTAATTATTCATTTAAAAATTTCAAAACGAGTCGCATAAAAAATAAAAAATAAAAAATAAAAAATAAAAAATAAAAAATTGCCATCTCTACCCACAAACAAGGGTAGCCCGATCCAAGTCTTATAAGAAACGATTGCACTACAATAACAACGCGTCCATAGTACCTTTTGATTTTTGACTGAAAGCAAATGGTGGATAAAAGGCTTTGAGTTCACATTAAAAAAAAATATAGTATGCTTTGCGTTTTGGGCTTTTGGCCCAGTAATCTACTCATTATTATCTTATATTAGCTAAATTCATATACATCATTCATTTTTGTTCAAAACCTTTTTATCATATACTAAATTCCTAAGATTGAAAAGTAGAACTTAAATCAAAATATCAATCTAATATAATATATGTTTAGTTCTGATTTATTAATTGGTGCGCATAGATGGTGTTTGTAATTTTCTTGATTGTTTTATTCAAATCTAAACTATAACTTTTTTAAATTAATATAAATTATATATATGAATATCACTTCTTGATTGTTTCTTGATTAATTTGCTCCTTTTGTTTTCATAAACACTTTTGCGATGACCATTACATTACTTGGTCGATCTCCATTAATTTATTTAATTGATTGAAATATTTTAGAGTGAGCAAAAAGGCAGGCGTAGTCTTGAGTTCTTGAAAAGACAATCATTTAATGTTGATTTAGCTACATACACGTTTCTAATGAGATTAAAATGATTTAAGTATTACGTTTACACATCCTACTCAAAATTAATTTGGTTAAAAATAATTATAGTTAGCTTTATATTAATGACAGGTACCTCCGAGTTTCCTCCATCTCGTGGTTCACATTAGAAGGAGTGACCAATTTGATTTCTTTCTTTAGTATTTGATTATTTCGTACAAGTACGTAGTAGAGTGCAGTTGCAATATTAAATGGAAGACTTTTTGCCTTCCTTCATCGCAAGGGAACAAAAAATGTGTGATCTTAAGAACTTCAAATTTCCATGGTCGGTCATTTTAATTTCTTAGCCACAAAAACAAGTAAATGGAATGACTCTCTTCTGCCTTCGATCAAAGGGTATTCATTAAAGCTCAAAGCGTCCAGTGCCTTTTTAAATAAAAGAATAATGAAGATTTATTATTAATGGAGGAGGTGTGTTCAACAGATTCTCAAATTTAACAATCTAATGGACTCACTAGATTTTTTATTTTAGTAAAACAAGACTCGTTTCATTAGTATTAACTAGTTAATATAATTATTTTATAATATTCATTCAAATTAATTATGGAAATATAAAATTTCAACGCTAATCGCTTAACCCAAAGAATTGTTTTATATAAAAAAAAAAAAAAAAAAATCAACCCAATCTGTCTATGTTTAATATGCTTGACTCTTAAAAATAATTAAAACATGATTCAACCTAATTCATTTACATCCTATAAGGTAAAGAAGTGGAAGGGAATGCAATAATAATATTTATAAAGGAGGATAAAGCAGGTATTGAATAGGCTATGGAAAAAGTGACGATGAAACATTGCATTGTAAATATTTTTTGGTACTAAAATGAAAAGAAAAAAAAAAAGCAAAGCAAAAAACATGTGAACGAGAAAGACATAAAAAAAGTGGACTTACGTATGGATTAATAAAAATATAAAAAAAATTAAAAAAATAGACTTATAATTAAGAATGAAGAATAAGCTAGAGAAGAAGAAAAAGGAAGAAAGTAGATAATTAAATAATAGAAGACGGATTAAAGACGGACATATATAGTAGAGTAGGGCATCAAGGCTCTTTAACTTTTTTTTAATTATAATTTTTTTATATGTATATTAAACAACTATTTTTATTGAGTATGTTATGTTAAAATAAATATATTTAAGTGTTGTTTATTTTTATACTTTTTGATAAAAATATTTTTTGTTCATAGTATTTAATGTAGAGATAATAGTATTTTTTAAATTACTTTAGTATCATTTTTTTAATAGTCTTTTTGTTTTGTATTTTGTTATTGTTAGTTTAAAAGTTATACAAATTATATTTGCAATAAAATGACCTTATGAATATGTTCTTTATCATGGTTGTTATTTGTTAATCTCGAGTGACAACACATAGTAATAATTTGAGAGTCTACGAAATTGGTTAGTTCCACCTATATAACTTAAAAAGCAAACTTGTTTTTAAGTAATCACACTCGATCTCAAGCAATCTCATCCAATCTTGTGAGTTTAGTCCCAATTTGTGAGACTACGAGGACTTGTTTAAAAAAGTTCCAAAACGAGCTTTTCACTTAGTGTTTTGATACTTGATTGCGTCTCC